AGTTACGTATTGCTCAACATCTTGTTTAAAGATTTGCTGTATGAATGAGAAACGCGTAATTGCGAAAATAAATAGATATAAATTGCTACACCTTTGCTAGAATGCGTCAATACAAATAAAAAGAGAAATATTTTTTAAAATTTGTGACGGTGCAACAGCCAATTAGTAAATAGCACAATTAAAAATGACAAATATTTGAAAGCGTCGTTGCTCTTTCTGATGAATTTGTATAAATTCACTTACAGAGCAAAAGAGAAACTGTGAAGTCAATTTGTAAACGAATACTTTATTATAAATTTCTTAATATAAAATGTTAAAATTGTTCTATTTGTATGAGTTATAATTATTCGATTAAAAGAATTAACATTACATAAAATGTAAATAATAATTTTGTTTTAACGCTATATTTTCAATGATTGCAAAATATATTTGCATGCCTTTCCAATTCAAAATGACATAGTGATGTAGATATTGATGAAATTAGTGAAACTGCCAAAGTGTCTACATGGCAAGCATTTTACAAGATATATTTTCCTCTGATACTGTAGATGAAAATAATAATTTTTACAAACTTAAAAAAACACAAAAATAGTACAACAAACCCAACGGTCAACGGTAAATGATGAGAAATTTCTTCAGATAACGTAAACGACAGAAAAGTATATGAACATTATTCACTATTATTTCTATCCTTCTTATTGGATCGATTATAAAACCGATAAAGAAACCTACCAAACGACCCGTTTACTCAACAAAAACTCCAACAAAAAAGCCACAAAACTCCTTATAGTCCAACAAAACCAACCTGATTTATGCACCAAGTTATCCAGCTTGGTATGTTAACGCTACTTTTCCTGCTCTTACAAAACAAAACTAACAAGAATTTAAAAAATCAGTAATATTTAAAACCAACCCAACCACATGTATGTTCAGAAAAAATCGTAAATAATTTTGATTTTATTGCAATTTTATCAACACTTATTTTTGCGGTATTTAGTTCGATGTCAAAATGGAAATACTTCATTGAAACTGCTCTTCAAATACGATTATCTGATACACGTGCCTTCAAATGCATATGTGAAAAAAAAGGCGTTAGGACAAATTCGACAGCTTCTTGACAAATATACACATTTTATAGTTAAGTCATTTAAGCTATATAATTGATTCTTTTATAAATAATTTAAAAGCTGCAATTTTGCAATGAAAACTTTTGTTTTTCTATGACGTGAGTAAAACTACTCAGTACTATCGATTTCATGTAATAACAAACTATGCATGTAGCGTCAGAAAAAACACTATCCAAGGTATAAATAATAATAATTCATGCCATTTATCAATTGACATGTATAAATCCAACTTGAACAACGCCAATTCGATAAAAACTGCATTCCTAAGCTTTAAATAATTTGCAGTTTATCGTCAATCACGACAATGACAAATTTGTATAAAACCAAGTAAATTTCTAAACAAGTCATTGAATTAAACTTCTGATCATCAAGTGAAGTATTTTCTCAATTTGTAGTATGTGCACTTTTAGTGCTTATTTTTTTATGCATCTATGAAAGCCATAAAATGTACCTCACAAAAGGTACCAAAATATATAAAAATAAAAAATTGAAATAAAAAATAAAAATTAAATTATTATAATTATAGCCCAATTCAGCGAAAGTAATCGAAGAAAACAAGTATTTAGCAAAAAAAGCAAGAAAAGTGCTAAAAATAAGCAAGGGCAATGTCAAATGATTTGTGAAGGGTGCAGATCCACCACCACAGGAAAAAATGTAAACTAAGTGTAAGTAATTAATTAATTTTAATTCAATAATGAATAAAAAATAAATTTTAATAAATAAAAATTTAATAGATCCTGACGGTTCATGGTCCTACATAATTCAAGTTGATAACAATTTCGCTTCATTCACATTACTACAATAGATCCACAGGATTTTCTGGCGATTTTCAACCCGCATCTTAACTTGACCTGGATGACAAATATGCTTGATTATCAGCGTCTTTAATTTAACTGGAATATCTTTTATTAGTAGATACAACCAGGAACATTTTAAGCATCTTCCCAAATATTGGTTTACAATTACTAAACGGTTCATTGGACATAATGGACTATTTACACTTCAAAGTAATTTATTACTGATAATTCATTATGAATATGGTTGCTAGATTTGCTTTCCAAGTTGATGGCTTCCTGAAATCATTACGAGAAAAAGGAACCCTAACTGGTTTTCTTCCTTGGAAATCTCACAGTTTTCAATGTTTTTAACATCAAACTTTGGTTTCTATATGAATAGTTCTGTATCAATGGATGGTTTCAACACATTTATACAACCTATTGTCGGCATTGGAAAATTCCGCACACACAAATCATGAAAGCAACATCGGTGAGTATTGAATATATGGAGTAAATTGACTATCGGTACAGGTAGGTTACATTTTTTGTTGGTTTGGGAAGAATTACCATCGATATAAACAATTTAATCCGCGCTGCAATTAGACACTCAATCAGATTCAAGTATCAGTATTGGGAGTAGTTTGATTAGACGCAGTTGGAGCTCTAGGATCGTTGTTCAATATAATAAGAGGAACGATTCATATTGGAAGGAGGTGCAGGTTTCATATTTCAACAGGAAGCAACAGACATAATGGTTTCCTGATTAATTTCAGCAATGAAACTGGAAATTATAGTAAATTATAATGCAACACATAATACACTTGGGTTTTACAATGGTAACCTTAAATTAGTGCTAATTGCGAGATGGTAATAATGGAATGTTTATGATTTTTGAATGAGACCTCTTCGGCGGGTTTTGATTGTAAATTCAACTGGGTATGGTAAACTTTTGGTTGATATTGAAGTTGACTCTGTTTTGATGGTGATAATTTGGATCTTGCTATCACGTTTTGCTATTTATGCAAAATTATTGAAAGAAAATGAAGAGATTAATCAGGTAGATGATTTGTCGTTTTGATTTTAAAGCATATTTGAATGCATATTATTTAGAAGGTAATGATTATTTTGAGAATGAGAGGGATGCTGAGTTGCAAAAGTGGAATTAGAAATTTTTGGTGATTTATTCGCTTTTATAAAGTCATAATGGCGCTGGATTATTTGCTAAAGTTGAGTTTCTATTATGTTTAATGCTGTGTATGGCGATAATGTGATTGGATTGAATTTTGCGCAATTGATGATACAATATATACGCAATTGACGCGAAGAACCGTGAAATTTTCCGTAAGAAACTTATGAAAGAAGTTTATGCTAGAGTGCAAAGTATAAAGCTGAGTAAAGGTTTTACTAAATATATTTTTAGTGGATTATTCAAAGGCTGTATCAAAGGATCTTTTCAATTTAATAACGGTTTTGTCAGGATCTGTTGGATTGGCGGAAAATGTTAAAATTGATAATTGATTGTTGAGAAAATTAATAAACATAAATATACACAAATAATTTTAAATATTTCTTCCTATCAATGAAATATTAATTCTAAAAATTTCCAATAGTGCGTTTTTATAAAATTAATAGTTAATATACGAGTAGAAAATACAAATTTATTTTATTTATTATTATTATTTCAGCAATAAATATCTGATTCATAATAAATTATTATAACTAATATTATAAATACGAATGTTTGACTGAGTTTGACTGCAATGTTAGATGAATTTTTGGATCTTGGAGAATAACGTAGACTTATTTGAATTTTAAATTACGGTTTAGTTAAAATATCTATATCAGGACTCGGTAACTAGATGTGAATGTGGAAATTAACCACTAATTGCCGCAAAATTACCAAATATTAGTATACGACGTAGACCCTACGTGCACAACGTTAAACTAACTATTTTTTGTATTGCAGTATACATTTCTTATTAGCCAGTAAATAAGTAAATAACACTCATGTAATTATAACAATTATTTAAATTATACCTTAATTATCCTTTTTTAAATACCTGATAAAACTGTTCTTCATTACGATTTATTTGAAAAACCGTCATAATATATTTACGTTCATTCTATAATTACAAAATACAAAAGAATTTAAAATAAATTGTTATAAAATCATCGTTAAGTGCTGATTTCTAGAATATTCCATATAAATTATCGTCTTGAAATATTGGAATTGCAGAATATTAATAACCAGACGTTATTAGCTGTTGAATTCGAATCACCTTGAGTATCAGTGCAAATTCTTCCATATAACTAAACTTCCCTCCAACAAACACTAAAAAACCAAATTCTTTTTTGTCATATGAAGCGTTAAACATGAGAATGGTGGGCAATTATTACAAACCGAGCGTAATGGCGCTGAATTATGCAAAAATATGTAAAATTCAAATCTGAAACATTACAAAATTCAGCCATGCGCGCCTTTTAACATTGATTACGCTATATAAATCTGAAAAAACAATGAATAACTCGTAGTTGACAGGCCAAAACCATGAGGGGCAATCACGCTGATATGTTCGGTGCTATTCTTGGCCATTGCATCTGCCAAACTAGGTACCACACACAAAAACAAATACAACTAAATAAAAATATTTTTTAATAAAATAAATTATTAGTAGATCAGCAATGCACCACCGTCTATGCCAGATGCAAAGCCAACCCAACGTGAACAACGATGGCAGCTTTGTAATCTACATGAGCGAAGATGTAATCTATTTCTATATGATCCAGTACAACGCTTTTGTAGTCGTCAACATCAAACTGCGTCTTGTAATCGTCATTGACGGCAACAACGGAACCACATAACATCTTTAAACCCCCGACACAGGTTTTGGTATCATAACCAACATCAGAAATAATCCGGTGTTTTGCCTTCACACAAAATTTGCAAATTTTCGACATCACTACCTGCATCAACAGTGGTGACTACTCAGTTGTCGTACAGATAATCGAGTATGTTTATCAATACAGTTAAGGTTGTTGGCGGTAACATCGATACCACTGAAATTGTACGCAGATTCCACTGTTATTCTTCGTGATTACTCTACAACCACAGACTTCACCCAATGGGTCTCCTACGGGAACAGACTGAGGTTGTGCAATTCTTATCAGAGCAATACACAGGTTGCCGAAATTTTATTTATTCAAATTGTTTGAAAGTCCTTGAATACACAGTTAGATAGAGGTCCTGTTATGTATCTGATTGTTGCTACAGAGGTCTTATGAAATCAATGATCGATTACTAATTGAATTCAACAACTTTTGCTTTCATTTCAATCGTGCGCGTACTCTGTATGGAAGGTTTGATAGTTATCTGATGAAGAATATTATTTGATTCTTGTCTCTCAGCAAACGCAAACTACTGAAATTACGATTGAGCAGTATAGGAACCTGACATGGGTGATCAACGGGTGGGTACCACCTATGAAACCCTCCAGATTGCTTTGAATGCATACGCAGAACAAACCGTTGTACAGACTTATGTTAGTACCATCAGTGTTAATGAAACCCATAGCTACGTGGCATACAACAGCATGCGTGAAGGTACCTGGATTTGTTCAGGGATCACCTACAGCCAACAACACTACGTTCAGGTGACAGCGAGTTACCATGATGGTTACATGGGTATTTTTGATCCTTCACAGGATTATACTATAGTTTTCTAAGTACTAATAAGTTTGGCACGATTAATTACAAAACTGGAAATGGTTTCGTATTATTGATGGATTCACTCAATCAGCTGCTTATCTTGTGGCTAATAGTGAAGAAATAATTATTGCGTTTGCTGAAGGCCGTTACATTGATGGGTTTAAGAGAGTGAAGGAATTAACCGAAAATACTGAAATTGAAGAAAATGCGTCTTTCAATGCCACGTTGTTCTTCATTGCTTTGAAAATGGAATTCCTATGAAAATATGTTGAGCCAAGAGCAGTTGGATGGTTCCAGGCAGATTTTTGCACAGCTTGCTTTACGAGCAGTTATCGGAGTTGACTTTGAGAATGGTTTTGGTATAAGTAACAGTGCTGTTGTTATGCTAGCTGGACCTAACACAAAATTCTTCCAAGACGGTTTTGTTGCTTTGTTAAGTCGCATGTTCTACTTTGAAATTGCCGGCGGACCTTTCTATAGAATCTGTTATGCTGGTATATTGGAAAATATTCATAAGAACTTCAGCGAACAGTTGTTTATGAATACCTATCAGGTTACGCTGTATGTGAAGAAGGAAAATAAGTCGAAGGAGGATATTAGTGATTTCATGGAGTCCTTTGTACGCTTGAGTACTGAACCAACTATTGATGTAACTACAGAACAGTTTACCAGAGACGGTTCTATCAATTAAAACATTCAATGTTATGTTAAAACTGTGTAGATATTAATCATATGAGCATTATAAAATAAAAGACACATCCGATTTTTTAAAACAGCATTTAAAATTGATATATGTATTCTTTCAGTTGATCTTATTTGTTCTAGCATGCAAAGAACGCAGGCAATTCTTTCCATGCGCTGATAAGCCATCACAAAAACAACAAATACAACAATCCATTGGATCGAATTGTAAATCCAGTTTAACACACCTGCACAATTTTATTGAAAACGTGCCTGCTAGCGTCCTCTGTCTACAAGATACTTAATAACAATTCTTTTAAATATAAACAAACATTTTAAAGATAACTTACATGACGCAGTGTTTTTTTAATTGTTGTCGGTTATGTTGCATGATTTAGGATTTTTCGATGTGTTACCGTTTATTTGTTGTAAGATTATATAATATTTGTGGGTATTACTTACAGTTAAAAATAAAACAGTAACATAACTGGTAAAAACGCTTGTATTTCGTAAAATATTTTGCTTCAAATGATTATGCAATCATAGATTAAACACAAATATATCCAACAGAAAGGATAAACACAAGTTTTAAGATAAACATTAGCAAACCGCCATTTAGAATAAAGTGGACAATTGGTGTTAGATCTGGTAAGACATTATTCACAGTGTTTCCGATTCCTGATGGAATCAATTTGTTCGGAATTTCCTTCAGAAATATTATCAGATTATCAATTGGTCCACTAATAAAATAGATAAGACCTGACGAGGAACTATTAAGGGTGTGTAAAAATATCTGATAGACCCTGTAAAGTCTCACACGACTCAGTAAAATTAGTTTTCTTGCTTAGTAAAGTCTGAAGATCTAGGGAGCTTCCTGTCCAACTTAACGATGTTTGCAATATTCTGTAGGTTCTGTAGACGTATTGAAAAGTTGTGTTAGATTGAGAAGATTAGTTAGGTTTCCAAATGGAAGACCGGTAGGCCAGTTCCATTCCCCGCGAGGTTTTTTTGTAAAACGTCAACGGAAACAGCCTGGAAGGTTAGTCCAGTCAGGTTACCCAGCGGTAACTTATCAATCAGGGATACTGCAGGGGTCTTGAAGGTTGGCAATTCGGTGACCTTTTTGAAATATTACTGGCTTGAGTTCAAATTTCCTGACTGTTAAATCTCCTCCACCTCCTAAAAGTCCAGTAGCCAAGCCAAGAAGATCGCCAGCTTGAGTCCAAGGATTTATATGGGTAAACTGTCAAGACCTGGTATACTCCCGTACCTACGAGTATATCAAACTTAAGCATACAGAACTATAAATGTGATATATATTTTGATTTACCTAAAGACCTTGAACTGTCCCAAAATTTGTGTAAATTGAGTCCAGATTGTAATGGTAGACCCTCAAGGCTACCACCTCTAACAAATCAGTTAATTTGCCCAATAGATCAGTTATCATTGTCAGGTTACTTAAAGGTAAATTTTCAAGGTTAATGAGGTCTTCTAAACGGTATACCACCTCCTCAGCTCCTGACAAAGCTGAAAATGTTTAATATTGTAAAAAGTAAAATCATTGAAGCCAATAAAACTCACATAACAGGTCAGTAAGAGTTCCAACCAGTGCTGTTGCTTGAGTAAGGTTACTTAGTGGTAAGTCTCAATATCTCAGCACCTCTAAATTAATTAAATTTTAAGCAAATTTTTTATTGGTTTTAGTTTTAAAAATTGAAAAGACCTAATAAATCTGTGAGTTATTCCAAGAACTTGTGTTGCCTGCATTGGAGTTACTCACTGGAAGATCACTTAAATCAGGGCAGAAGCTGCGTTTCCTACCAAATAAAGGCAACTGCTATTAGAGATTGATACGGAAAAAATAGCCAATTTAGTATAATTTACCAAGTACGCAGGAAACTGATTGAATAATGTAGTTACTGGAAGTCAGGTTACTTAAAAGGTAATCCATCTAATCCTGGTACTCCACTGTAAATATCAAATTTTTAAACTTTGTTATTAAAACTTCAAAGTTTAGATTAATTATTCTATTACCGAGTAAAAGATGGTATAGTATTAGAAGTAACGTGGTAGCCTGTGACAAAGTTACTTGTTAGCGGTATTCAAAATGGTAATCCGCTACTCCCTCCTCCAGAAGCAAATCTCCCAGAGACCACCTAAACCACCAGTTAAATTACAGAGACCTCTAACCCGCAGTTAGGGTGCTGTGGTGGCGAAGCCACCAGTACCACCGAGCAAATCAAGCTAACAACATCAAGACCTTTAAAATTCAACATATAAAAATTAAAAATATATTTAAATAATTATATTAGTATTTAGTTTACCAGGTATATCTCCATTTCCTCTATGAGGATTCCTCCAATAAAGATCCAAAAGGATTACCCCCACTAATCAAATCAGTCAAGTTCCCAAAGAAGTAGAGTAGCTTCACTATCAACATATTATTTTGTCCCAAGGCTAACAATGAATTTGGCTTCATCAGAAGGAATTCAAACCCCTGTCCTAACAATCCAGGTACATAATCTCTCCTGTTGCTAAACCCAATGCTATGTATGTTTTGAAGACGTCATTGCTCAAAGACACTGTCAGAATAGTTG